ATTACAAAAACCGTAAAAATTATCGCCTTTTTCTGCTTTATATGACTTTCAATGTCCTTGTGTTATAGGTTGTTGAATTCGTTTTAAGATTCTCTAGCATGATACGGAATCAAAAATATACCGATCCATTTAAAAAAATGGCGGTGACCTTCAAATGTCCGAAGTACCTCCATCTGCTGAAAAACTATTATCACTACTGGACGGCCCCCTTCGTACTGTGCAATTTTGTTGCAAGAAATATTTTTGTAAAACATACAGTTTAGAAAATATTTGAGGTGGTAATAGTTATTGCCCCACCCTGTATATAGCAAATTTTGAAAAAATTCGGGTTGATGAAAATTGTAAGGCAAGAAATGGCAGTCACTTTTTTCAACTTTTTTCTCTGAGCTTGTGATAAAAATTTGAGCAATACATTTTGAACAATACATTTCAGATAAGTATGTGCCGAAAGTTTCATTGAAATTGGTTAAAATTGTTATGAGTTACAACCAGTTAAGAGATTATGAAAATCGCAAATTTTTCGACTTTTGGCTTAAAATCTTATGTTTTTATGTCTCTTGCTTCTTTCGGTACCGACAGATTTCAATGTATATTTGTATCATAAATATTCCAAATTTCTTGTTCAAGTTTTCGTTACAAATATAGATAAAGAAGTCGAAAAACACAACTCCCACATTTTCCTCACAATTTCTACCAATTTTAATTTTATCAAAATTTTCTGTACATGCCATTTTGTACAGTAATGCACCTAAATACTCAAAAGAACTGCGATTGCTTGATACGATTTTAAAAAAGTTATTCAGTATTAAATGGTGCTCTCTACTGTATACCAGTGAATGAACAAAATTTTCATTACACGAGCGCCTTATACCGTCATTAAACTGGAGGAAAAAGATTTCATATCAGTACTACAGGACGATGATAACCGTTCATACAAAACCATATTTTTATTTTCCAACAAATGTCATATAAGTAGAAAAGAACGATTTTTCGTTATGCGCAGAAGAGCTAATTTGTTAATTCACAGATCAATTCCACTCTATATTATTGTTCTTGAATATATGTGCTTTTATTCGTTCTCATGCCAGTTTTTGTTGCCATTGTACTTTTTTGTTCCTTTTGTTAAATTTTTTTAGTAACTGCATATTCATTTCAACAGTGAAATTGTAAATTGTAGAATTGTGTGATGAAATCGTTGTTGGAAAATGTTTTAAAAATTATAATAAAATAAGGAAACCTTAAATATCACTGATAAGTACACCAGTATTGTTATACAGCGACATGAAGATTCGTGGGTATTTCATTTTCTATAAAGCTTATATCAACACACTATGATACCAATACTTTACATTCCGTTATGTCTTTCAAGAGAGAAAAATAGAAATTCACTAAAATTTTTTATGATTAAAAATTAAAATTTTTAAATTTTAGTTTAACTTAGAACGAAATTGTAGAAAATATTGCTTACGTATATTTCTAGAAACTAAAAGAACATACCAATTTCTAATCACTGGTACATTCTTTTATAATTTTATATGTTATCTTAAAATCATAGCAAATTATGTCAGTGACTAAACCATTGGGACGTGAACAGAAACTGTGACATTTACCTTATATGATAAGAAGTACGTTTGGTGGAAGTTGTTATAATTATATCGTTATTTGTTGTTAGGCACTAGAAAGAAATATGTCATTGAGCGGTCAATACTTGGAAGAGCTAAGTTGGCGATACAAGAAACAAGTGGAAGAAATGCAAAAGTCCTTAGAACGGACTGTGTCCGCGATGAGCGAGGAAACGCGAAAGAGAGACGAGCGGGAATTGAAAAGAGCAGAAGAAATAGCGATTTTAAGAGACGAGATCATGAACCTTTCGAATTCGGTGAAGAACCTTATATACGATCGGGATAGTTGGCGAGGAAAGATTTCCATGTTAGCTCAGCAAATATTGTTAATATGTTCGAAAGCTCTGGTTATATATTTAATTTTATTGTATTGTTGGGGAAAGCCAGTCGAAACGAAAGAGAAAACTCGATCTGAAAAAGATGTGACACGTCGTAAAAGCGCGGAGAATTTCGGTTCTCATATCAAAAAAGTGAAAAAGCGGCGACCGAGCGAAATAGCTTCTCACATTACCGGTACGTATCGGGAATTAATGATCAGTCACAGATCTCATGAGAGCAAGAAAGAAAAGAAGAGAAAACGTAGGAGGACGACCACTTTGATCGGTGACCAAGCGAATACGCAACAGGAAATCGTGCCAAACATTGTGGATAAAATAGGAGTAATAAGAACAGTCCCTTCGTCCGTTGAAGTTTTACAAACGACCGACTTCCACAATCCAGTAGCCTGCAAAAAGCTAAAATCTGCGTCGGAAAGTAATGTCGACAGGTTCGTTGAAAGCGAAATGAAATACAATATTCTATTGTCGAACGTAGATAGTTCTAAAATGGGGTCCGCTAGAGATTTGGAATTAAACGTATCATACATCGAAAATTCGAATGAGACAAATTCCTCCTCGTCGAACACGTTTCCCGAGAAATCAAAAGAACACACTTCCAACGAATTGTCGACAGATTTATTCAATTCTAAGAGCATCAGTGGCATACTGAAGGATACTAGATTGAATGTAACATCTTCCTTCATGAGGACTGCTTTGAGCACACGAAGGAAAAGGAAAACTTATTTGAATGACGTGAACGGAGAATGGAATGATGGTATAGATGATAAAAATCAAGATAATCTCGTATATTCTGAGAAAATCGACACCGATGCTGATACTACCGTGAATGGTACACTAATGAATCAAAGCGACGAATCTAGAAGTAGTAGTGTAACGTCGATGTTGAAAAAGAAGGAGAAAAAGGGTACTGGCTTTAGGAAAATGGTGAGAAAATTCTTTTGATTAAAATAGATTTGCCAATGCTAGCTAGTATCAAAAATAGCTCGATGTTGTTGAAATACTTGTAAAGCAGGATCTGCATTATCTGTACACTTGAGTACCTTGCTTACGCGTTCGGACGCAACAGAAGCAATAGTATACACGTCGAATAAGTCAGATAATTTAAACATCAGAGAGTAGATCCTATTTAGTCGGTTTTGACATGAGGTCTTACTTTTATATGCTTTTGCCTTACACTCTACACTGTGGAACTTGTTTTGCTGTCTTCGACATATCAGCGACACGCTGAGCTCATTGAACTTTATTCTAACTAGAGTGTGAACGCCTGAAAGAAGAACTAGCTGCGACAACGGTTCGAGAAAAATATAAGACGAGTAATTCAGGTTCTATAAAAAATATACAGGATAGGTTATGAGTTTCTCTCCCCTCTACAAGCATGATTCTAAAACGACCCGTTCTGCATCTCTCTCGAACTAGTCTCTTTTTCACAGTTCACATTCTAGGTCACTTTAAGATACAGTATACAGTGTCTCACGAACTCTGTCCACTTAAATATCTTGGTTATTTCAAACAATACGAGAAAATGTAGGGTTTAAGAAACTACATAATTATATTTTTGCAAGTGGAAGCGTAGAGAAGATATAGCGGTCACCTTGGTTTTATTAAATGGAATGTCCAATTTTTTATGCTTTATTTCGATAGCTTGGCGTATTCTGAATATACAACTACTAAGGTGTTTTTGTCCTAAAACGTACCGTTGCTAAGATATACATGCTCAATTTGTAGTTCCTTATCATAAGAGAATTGAATGTGACATAATATCCTCCTTTACCCAGACTACTACAAATTGAGCATATCTCAGCAACGGTAAGTTTTAGGAAAAAAACACCTTAGTACTTCTATACTCAGAATATGCCAAGCTATCGAAATAAAGCATAAAAAATTGAACATTCTATTTAAGAAAACCAAGGTGACCGCTATATCTTCTTTGCGCCTTCACTTACAAAAATATAATTTACACGATATTATGTAGTTTCTTAAACCCTACAACTTCTGTGAGTGACATTTTCTCGTATTGTTTGAAATAACCAAGATATTTAAGTGGATATAGTTCGTGAGACACACTATACACACATGGACCGCTGGTCCGCTAGAAAAAATGTAGCCAACATTTGGTAGCGCCGCCATACTCGGGACCTAAACTCTTTAAGAAACAGAACATGTAAAGATACAATTTAAACTCATTGGCTTCAAATTGTCGCAGTTTGGTCACGTGTGGTTCCCGAAGGTTGAGCTTAGCCACCTGATGTTAGCTACGTTTTTTTAACATTGGAAGCCTATGTAACTGACGTTCCATGTATGTATAGTCAAAGGCAGCGGACAGCCCATTCTACGTTAGTTATTTACACTGGCGTAGCACAATTATACATGACGACATAAAGGCGCGCAAATACCATTTTAATGAGTATAGTATGCATACACAATTGACATACTTCATATTACAGCCTGTATAAAAACCTACTTAAACAAATATATATGTTCTGTGAACGTAAGCTTTTCCAATGGGCAATTTTATTATTATAATCCGGCTTTCTATCGTGCCTCTTTTTGTGAATATTGAAATTTACTTTCATTAACATATGCATAAAATTGGGTATTATGTACAAAATACAATTTTAAAATATGAAATATGCTAATTGTATGTACATGCATACTAAAAGCATTATTTATTAAGATGTCATAATAAATCAGTTTTGATGAATCAATACGCTTTATGATTCATGACTTCATACGTATCGGTATTAGCGCGTCTTTACGTCGTCATGTATTTTTTCTTTTTTTCTGTTTCGTGGTTGATCCACTGGCAGCCACTCGGCACAACCAGTGACCTCTTCCTTCCTCTCTCTTAGTCTTACCTCTGTCTTTTCCTCAACCTTCTATTTTTCCTATACCTCAATCCTTACCTCACCCTTCTTCCATCTTGCATTCGTCCAGGACATTGTCTGCGGAGCGGGGAAAACCTAGTAGGGAAACCCAGTAGAATTGATAAATCCTGTCTAGTAAAACCCGCCCCGAAATGGTTGGTGTCTTCAATATATGTTCCCATTAGGTATCTAGGTCACATTTTTGTACGCTTAGACACCGAATTGGGATGTTCTACACATCTCGCAGGCTACGACCGCGGTCGACGCTGTTTAGGCCCGAATTTATAGGCCGGTATTCAGAGTCGTTGTTTATTCTTAAGGTCGTCTTAAGCATTTGCTTAAGTCCGTGTTCCCTGTACAAGACAAGGCCTGGAAATATGGGATAGGCAGGGATAGCAAATTCTTAAGACGATCTTAAGAATAAGCAATGACTCTGAATCTGAATACCGGCCATAGTTGTTTCTCAGTTCTCAGTCTTTAATGTCAGTTCTCAACTGTTTGTCGTATATCCATGAGTTTCGTGATACATGATTGATGAAAATCGAAGATATATTTTCAAACGTTTTATTTCATTGTTGATTAAAATCTTTTAAAATTTCATTGAAGCGTCTACGGTCATTGTGGTAGACTTACTCACTTCAATAAAATTTTAAAAAGTCTTAATCAATAACGAAATAAAACTTTTCATCAATCACGTATTACGAAACACATAGATATGCAACAAGCAGTTGAAAGCTCAGAATTCAGAACTGAGAACTGAGAAACGACTATAAATTCCAGCCTTAAACTTTGACGATCGCCCAAGATACCGACCTACCATTCCACGGTACATCGTTATGTATAATTTTGCTATGCCAGTACAAGCGGTTAACGCAGCGTAAGGCGACTACTGCCTTCCACGTGTTATAACTATTTCGAGGTAGGGAGAGTGAGCCGTTACCACAGGCATGGCCAAGTACATGTGCCCCACTGTAGCTGTTCTCCCTACTTCGTACAGTAGGCCCAGGAAGCCCTCACATTATTTCAGTATGTTACGTGCGTGCATCATACACACTATTAACCGTTTGGACTGCGTGCCCCACTCCGGCTCCCGGGCAAGGTCGTGTCGCGCGGCGACAACTTTGGCCATGCCTGCGTTACCAGAATCTTGGTAAGGCCGTGGACTTGAAGGCAGGGGTCTCAGAATTTATCCCGCACGGCTCGCTTCCCCTCTTTTTCGCCCGTATTTCGATCCCCACTACTATTCTCCTCATGCGCCTTCGCGAAGCGAACCTATCAAGTACCAGTCCCCACCATGGTCGCGTCATCCCCACTTTCCGGCCGAGGGATAAATTCTGAGACCCCTGCTTGAAGGACGGTGCATATTCCAGGAGTATACATACCAAAGGCGGAAGAGTAGCTTCGAGCCGCTATGTTTGAGCCCCCACAGTGGTGCACTCTACAGCAGGGATGGGATAATTTTTCCCTCGGCCGGAAAGTGGGGACGACGCGACCATAGTGGGGACTGGCAGGGGTCTCGGAATTTATCCCTCAGCCGGAAAATGGGGACGACGCGACCATGGTGGGGACCAATAGTTGGTGGGGGTATGAAGTGATTTTCACGGTAGCGCTGCGGAGAGCTTCGCGAACGCGCATGAGGGGAATAGTAGTGGGGATCGAAATACGGGCGAAAAACAGGGGAAGCGAGCCGTGCGGGAAAAATTATCCCATCCCTGCTCTACAGTTGAATATACATATTTATTAGTAGTGAAAGGGAGATGTGCGAATGAGGGGTATGTTGATCAAAAAGTATGTACGCTCTCATTCTCACTACTATTACTCTCCTCATAATATGTATACGGTTCGTAATTCATGAGCAATCTCCCTCCTCATCTGTGTTGTGATCCACCTATGCATGCATGAACGAAATAATAATAATAATAATAATAATAATAATATATGTAAACTCTAAGAGGGACTATGTTCCTAAGAATATAATTTAATACGTCACATCATACTCCTGACAATTACCGTTTTTAAAAGTTATTACTTTATTACGATTGTTTTATGAAATATCATGACGGCACTGATAATTCACATGTTCAACATCCATACAGAGCTGCTTTCCCCTTGCCTTTTTGGAAGGATACCTGCGCACACATAAGCTCATTTTATGCAGTCCTTCAAGTCAGTGGGTAAGGCGACTGCTCTATCTATGTATTAGTTATTTAAATATAGTAAGAACGGGTCGTCCGCTGATCTCTGCTGGACACAGAACATTCGTTTGATTCGAAGTTGATTTTTATCCCTTAGAAGTCAATCTAGGTAAAATTGCAAGACAAGCTGAGTTGAAAGTTTAATTTGAGCTAAAGCCGAAGTAATTTGCTCCCTGATTGACAGAATTATCAACAATTTCTATAGAGGTCAATGGATATAATATGCCACAATCATCTGTTTTGCTTGTCTCTCGATCCGGCCTCTGTCTCACAGTTCATACTCCAGGTTCCATTACGATACAGCTCAATGACTGAGTTACAGTTTTAGATACAGATAATGCGGATCCCACTGAAGAGTTGTAATTTAAGTGTATGCAAAGAATACGCCTGATTCGTATGCTTCGCTCGTATCGAGTTAAATATAGAACGACTTAGGATATTGGAAAGTAGAGTATTCAGAAATTAGATAATAATTCTTGTCAGTAGATGTATATATGAATATAATTACTGGACAAGATGATTTTCAAATAGGTTTATTCAAAATGTAATTTATTGAATGAATGTAAAAGTTTTGATAGATTTTATTATAAACTAATAAGTTTTATGTTATTTTGTGAAAATTTCGGTTGACCGTGTAAATTAATTCAATTTACTATCAAATATCATTCTTTATGACTTATGTACTATACCTCCGTTGCATTTATTTTTTACTTTATACGCTCCAGTTAAGTAATACACCAACTGTAAGAATAATTCAGATTTCTGGAAAATTATTTAATCTAGTTTCGAGAATGAAATTCTCCTCATAGTGGCAGGATTTATTGTGTGAAAAATACCAATGAATGTCCTCGACTTATTATTAGATGGATAACGCTGAAAGGTTTATTCTAATTACAGATATAGTGGAGTACACAAACATTCGTATATATTTTAAAATTGAATTATTTCTTTACTATTGAACTTAACAAATTAACTTTTTTAAGTGTTAGATAGATTAGTTTACTGTATGTTCGAATTTACGAAGGAAAAAGTAATTTTAAAACGTTTATCGTATTTACAGAGGAAAAAATAAATGGCACAATCTTTCGACTCTAATAAAAATGTAAACTATGTTTTTATTACTTCTTGTATTTTAATGGAAAATACTGCCACGCTAATCCAGATCTAAGGATGTTATACAGACGTACAATGTTTCAAATCAGTTAACCCATTTGCATCATTTGAGAAAGTAGAAAATTGGTGCGTATCACCAAGATTGTTGTGCGAGCTTACGATGCAAATGGAGTAAAACCAGAGAGGAACAGGACTATTAACCTATTAGTATCATAAAGAAATATGAAAAAAGGCCTTTATCACCAATTTTTTTTATTATATTTAAATAAAAAAATGACTATAAGTAAAAAACCTTCATATTTCATGAAAAATAAATTGCAAATACGGGCTTTACGTCCATTTATGTTACTGATAATGGTAGAAATGTTGATTAGTTATTTTCGGCAGTATGACGGTATATGAAATGTTGACTGCATAAAGCACTCTGTTCGGCCACTGATCATTGCATTTGATCCTTTCATACCAGTGGTACGGTAATTGTTTTATTGTTTAACCGCACTTAGCTGGTAAGATCTCAAAGGCGCCTGATGTTTTAATCTCCGGTTTATGACAGGCCGAACTAGACTATTTCTTATAATTCTAAATACATGGACCTGTAAGACGAATAATAATTACTAACAAAATTGAGCGTATGCATATGGCTCCAGTGATAGTGACCAAGAAAGTTGAGCGTATATATATGCTCCGGTGATAGTGACCAGGAAACTTGAGCGTATATATACGCTAATGATGCAAATGGGTTAAGACATGAAATGGTTGAACGTACCGAAAAATATTGAACTGTCTCCGTTTATTTAAATTTTAAGCCGAAAATCGTTAAAATTTGCGTTTTATTAATTCTCAATTGTTTAAATTTGTAACTCTTAATTGTTACTGTTGTTTTTCATAGCAGTATCAATCGATTTGAATTAAATTTCATAAATACGTATTACACACTTACAACTACAAAAAGCATCTTTTAAATTTTTATTGGACAGTCGAATAAAAATCGTGCTCTCTACTTTCTTCCTCGTACGACGTACGACGTATGTATAACAATCAAAAAATTTCTTTGGTTATACGTCATATAGTAAACTAATCTCTCTAACACATAACAAAAGATTTATTCAGTAAGTCCAATATTAAAACAAATTATTCAATTTTGAAATGTGCACAAATATTTATAAACATCATTGTAAATCTTTATACCGTAACTCATTCGTAACTCCACTTATCCTGCGTAGCTCCTTAAATCTTTGTACTATAGTTAACTGATTGCAGATAAATTATGTATTTTACAAAACCAAAAACAAATAACAAACTAATATACATTTCACCACTCCATAAACAATATAAAAAGCAGAACAAAGGACGCTTTTAGCAATCTTTACCTTTTCTACCCTGCTTCGTTTACCTTTCTCCATCAATCCGACCCTCCGCCATCTGATTTCCTCCTGCTGCTTTATATGTATTTTATTGTAATTCCAGCTAAAAAATCGGACTTGAATCGGGTCTTAAATAACTGTGTCATTTGTCCCTACACACCTTCACACACCAGCGATCCACCTCACTCTTCACCCATCGACCTCACAACCACGTGTACAAATATACAAACACCCAATCCATCTCACTCATTTCGCTTACACAGTAGACAAAATCTCCTGATTTTCTATCCTCTCCCTACAATTTACTTTCTCAATCATATGCCTATTCTCCCTCCTTCTTTAACTTCTAATATGTTCCTATTGATACTTCATGCACTTTTGTTCATTATATGTATTTTGTATGTTTTCGCATACCTGTTCCTGCCATAAATGCATAAAATCCGCCGGCCTATTCATCACTCATTTTCCTTAACATCTAGTGTTCAGTCTCTTTTTCTATTCTTTTAAATGTCTTTACGATACCTATGTTACAATCTCTAACCAACCAGTAATTTGTCTACATTTCCTCACCTTAAATCTCGCTAACATCCCCGTATGCCGCCCTTTCTAGCCTAAGTATCTGGTAAGGGTAATTCCACAAATGTCTCTATAATGGGGTTTGTAACTCGAATTTTCCATTTTGCTCCTTATCCTTTGGTGGGCTTTGTACTAATTGTAATTTATGATAAAATTTATCAAAGCTTTCACGCTCGCTTAATATGTGATCATTGTATGATAAAAAGTATGTTATATGTAAGTATTAACTTATATAACTAAGAATAAGTGTCTGTTGCCACCATATTTTTTAACGATACTTACAGAGTCGATACTCATTTCGTTCCGTATGAGTGATCAATCGAAAGAGATGTAGAGTAACAAGAACAATTTTCACGAAACACGAAGGCTGAACTTAAGCGGAGGACTCTTCTCATTACTCTTAGTTGTGCACCGCCTTAGGACGGGATTCTGATACATAAAGTGATGTGCAGTGTATTTTTAATTAATTATTCGATCACAACTAATCATTGACGACTGACATAGTCTGTCATTATTACTATTACTATTTTCATTATTTATGCATACATATTATTTAACATTATCATAAAGTGTTAAGCAAGCTCGAATGGCCCGATTTGCATCCTCCGAATGTGCAGATCGTGGCTGACCGAGTCAATAATCTGACGATAATTCGTGAATATTACCTCGTACGGCCGAAGTACTGTCACAGGGACTCCAGAATGATATTCTTTTGCATCTTATCTGTCAGCTGCTCAGTAGAATCAAGGCCTGCAGGAATGGCTCTCGATTCTGAAAGTAGCGAGAATCTAATTCTCTCAAAAGCGCCTAGTACCAAGGCGGAGCCTTACAGTGTCCCGAATATAGTATGCTCTTATTACTATTTATACTATTACCATTAGTGACGTCATTATTCAGTTAATAACATCGGTTTACTGACCGTAATATGTGATTTAAATTAATCTGGTTGAAAAATTTAGCGATATTTTCAATGTTTGTTAAACAAGTTTTAGCAATAGAAGTGAATCCTTATCAACTGAATGTTAATATGAAAATTATTTATATAGCAATTACTTTGCGGAAGAAATGTGTGCTTTGAATTAATTGAATAAAGTATTGTATTAAGTAGACGAAAGAAACACATTGAAACGAGTCCAGAGCACATATAAGTTTCTAGTAGGTATAATATTTTGATCTTCGAAATCGCTCCGTAGTATTTAATGAAGAAACTCTTCTTGTGAATACAAGTGTGTATAATATATTGAACGTTTTGTTGCAAAATTAGATGCTAATTTCAGAGAGCGGATCACTTAATTTTAACTACGCTTAATATCTTTAATAATTTAATATGTTCAATTAAATAAAAAATCCATGACTGTACATATGTTTCGTTAGGGAAATTCTTCTAACGAAAAGGAGTCCGAAGGCGAGGACAAACGGGGTACGCAAGTAAAATCAATTGATTCCGCCCAAATCCGATTCTAAACGATCAATACAGATATTATCTATTAAATAATATTAGTTTTATTGCCCTCGAGGTTGAGGCGAAGACCTTAATCTGTGCGGCAGACTTCGTAGTGCCGGTCGCTGTAACACAACAAAAACAACCCGAAGAGGTTGATTAGTTATTCTGCTTGAAAACGGCAGAATTTTGCTGAAACTGATTCAATGGATTATATTGTCGAAGAGAGTATTTTCTCTTGTTGGTTTTCTTTTTCTAGTTAAACAGAGTATTTTCTATTCTTCGTGTCTTTTTCCATACGCAATTGTATGGGTGAAGATAGTCTTTTAATCTTTCATTGATTTCGTTGCATCAAAAATGGTGATCCGCTTGCAAGGACATGTTATGCATGGGAGCTCGGATTGTAAGGTCGAAACGCTTACTGGGCATGCACAAGCGCAGCACCTTGTTAGCTACGCTGTGGACCTTACCAGAGAGGACCGTACCGATTTAATCTCACGGTGCACTGCAGTTTTGGGTGAGGAACTACAAATCCACTGCAAACCATCCGCGATAACGCCGTTTTTTAACCAGCGGTCAGCCAACGATTGACTATAATGACCCGGAGCGATACCAATATCGTCCTCTTGTACGTATCTTGTTGCTAGCTCTGAAATCAGTAAGGCCCTGACGAATCTAAAGGAAATCTTTAGATTTGTATCGTTAGTATAAAGAATTGCTTAGTGCCCTTAACAAATCGATAGATGCAATCGTCTCAGAAGTATTTGATGGGCATAGGCTAGTTTATCAAAGAATTCAAACAGTCGGACACTTACGAAATACGAAATCGTCTGATCCATACTTTTGAATACTGAGTTGCCGACTCGCACAAGTACTTCGGCTTGGCTTACGAAGAAGACTTGTTCTCTGCTATGCGGAGTATTCGTCGAACATTTTCGGTTTCTTTCCCTCTTATTTACGACGCCCATTCGTGTAGTCTCGACGTAGGATGGGGTCACGGCAAGTTAAATATTGCTTTTAAGATTTTGTTTTGTGCCACTGTACCCTGTGTTTTCTTGCCTTGGATAGGTAGTCCCAATAAATAGGCAGCCCGTATCTAAGGACAGGACGAATACACATGCTGTATACAGGGTGTCCCAGGACTAGTGGTACATGGTACAGGTTCCTGAGGTGATTTTAAACAACTTTTTCCATTGTGAAAAAGTTGTCCGAGGCGTGGTTATTGAGTTATTAACAAAAGTCCTCGACCAATCAGAGCGCGAGTATACACGGCGGGCAGGAGCGCGTAAGCCGCGCTCGTGACGAGAGCATAGGTTCAAAGAAAAGTTGTATGCAAAAATGAACTCATAAATTGGTTAAATACCAGAGGAAAGAAAACGATTAGTCGTTACTTACGTTCACTGAACAAATGTAACTATAAATACTCAATGAAATAACTAACAATGTTACGTCCTGAATACGGGTTCTTGCCTTTCTTTAAAGTGCTTAAGCACACCTTGACCTAACTATCAGTTTTAAGGGAATAGGTAGTGGATATAAAGGGCTGACACGAGATTTCGAATAATATATATATATATATTCTTTA